TCACCCACCCAACGCAACGCTTCGTGGTCCCATAGGGAGCTCCACCGAAGCCCCCAGTGGCACCGCCCGCATGCGTCCGCCACCACCCATCACAGCCCTTGCCCCTTGCGTATCACCCACCCAGTACAGCGTTTCGTGGTCCCATAGGGGGCTCCAGCGAAGCCACCAGTGGCACCGCCCGCATGCGCCCGCCACCACCCAGCACAGCCCTTGCTCCGTGCGTTTCTCCCACCCAGTACAGCGCTTCGTGGCCCCATAGGGAGCTCCACCGACAGCCAAGTGGCACCGCCCGCGTGCGCTCGCCACCACCCAGCACAGCCCTTGCTCTTTGCGTCTCACCCACCCGGTACAACGCTTCGTGGCCCCATAAGGGGGTTCCACCGAACTCCCCATTGGCACCGCCCGCATGCGCCTGCCACCACCCAACACAGGCCTTTTTTTTCCTTTCGTTTCGCCCAACCAGTACAGCGCTTCGTGGCCCCATATGGGAGGAGCTCCACCGAAGGTACCAGTGGCACCGTCCGGATGCGCCCGCCACCACCCATCACAGCCCTTACCCTTTGCGTTTCACCCACCCAGTACAGCGCTTCGTGGCCCCATAGGGGGCTCCACCGAAGGTCCCAATGGCACCGCCCGCATGCGCTCGCCACCACCCAGCACAGCCCTGTCTCCGTGCGTTTCACCCACCCAGTACAGCGCTTCGTGGTCCCATAGGGGGCTCCACAGAAGGTCCCAGGGACACCGCCCGCATGCGTCCGCCACCACGCAGCACAGCCGTTGCCCCCTGCGTTTCGCCCACCCAGTACCGTGTTCGTGGCCCCATAACGGGGCTCCACCGAAGTCCCCACTGGCACCGCCCGCATGCGTCCGCCACCACCCAGCACAGCCCTTGTTCCCTGCGTATCACCCACCAAGTACAGCGCTTCGTGGCCCCATAGGGAGCGCCACCGAAGAAATTATTCACAATGGCGGTTCTCACAAATGCATCTGGTTGGGGTTTTCGCCAGGCTAATTTTTAAATTACTACTGCGACTACTACGCTACTGCTGCTCTCGCTACCACTACTACGACCACCACCACCACCACCACAACCACCACCACCACCACCACCACCACCACCACCACTACTTCTACTACTACTACTAC